TGAGGCCTTGTGTAGAGGCGCTGAGCATCTTTTGAAAGTTTTTGAAAGTTTTAAATTGTGAGACGGGCCTACAAAAACATGGCCACAGATCTTTGATGGCGGGTAAAAAAAAGAGAAATATGTGGTCACAGCGAGGTCCAAAAAGCTATAGTACGCTGCTTTAAAGCATGTGAAAAACATAGTCTGTCCAACAACAAAGGGACCATTCTGCAGTAATTCAGTTCTTTGAATAGCTCGGTGGACATTTGCCAGAGTGTCATGCCTCTGTGGTAAATCCAGACTACTTCCATTGGGCGATTGTTTAGGCTATTTTGAGGATTCTTTTCATGTGGCAGTGATTTGCTTAAAAGGATAAAATGGCACAGTGCTGTGTATTAGGATAAAGGCGCACTGTTTCCAGGGCATCCTGGTTGATTGCTTGAGTTTTACCAGAAGTTAATAGGTTAAGACACTGTACAAACTATGTGTAGGCCAGGCTGTGCTCTGCTTACCCAAAATGGTTACCCAAGAGCAGCAGCTAGAAGCTGCCTGATTTTATTTAGCTTTGTTTCCATGATCTAATCTAGGATGAATTTGATACGCTTGAGTTTGAGTGTGAGGATCACTCTGAAACGTGACTTCACTTAAAGTGCAGCACTGTCAGATTAACAAAACCCACTCAAATACCAAATTACTAATAGTGAAGCCACATAAATAGTAACTCCAAAGCCACAATCACATCACCTCTATGATAAGAGCACAAACACTGATGACTGTATGAAAATGATACACCGATCAGGCGTAACATTATGACCACCTCCTTGTTTCTACACTCATTGTTCGTTTTGTCAGCTCCACTTACTATATAGGTGCACTTTGTAGTTCTACAGTTACAGACTGTAGTCCATCTGTTTCTCTGCATACTTTGTTAGCCCCCTTTTACCCAGTTCTTCAGTGGTCAGGACCCCCATGGACCCTCACAGAGCAGGTACTATTTGGGTGGTGGATCATTCTCAGCACTTCAGTAACACTGACATGGTGGTGGTGGTGGGTTAGTGTGTGTTGTGCTGGTACGAGTGGATCAGACACAGCAGTGCTGCTGGAGCTTTTAAACACCTCAGTGAAGCAGCAGATGAGCTATCGTCTCTGACTTTACATCTACAAGGTGGACTGACAAGGTAGGAGTGTCTAATAGAGTGGACAGTGAGTGGACACAGTGTTTAAAAACTCCTGTCTGATCCACTCAGACCAGCACAACACACACTAACACACCACCACCACGTCAGTGTTACTGCAGTGCTGAGAATGATCCACCACCCAAATAGTACCTGCTCTGTGAAGGTCCATGGGGGTCCTGACCACTGAAGAACAAGGTAAAAGGGGGCTAACAAAGTATGCAGAGAAACAGATGGACTACAGTCTGTAACTGTAGAACTACAAAGTGCACCTATATAGTAAGTGGAGCTGATAAAATGGACAATGAGCGCAGAAACAAGGAGGTGGTCATAATGTTATGCCTGATCGGTGTATGTTTTGGGGGTGGGCAATGTGAAGATATTTATCGTTATTGTGATAAGTTATGTATTGCATTGCAATATGCTGAGCCTACCATGGAAATTGCCAGTACTTACAGATCACTGAGCAACTGCATTTTTCATTACAAAGAAAATATATTCATTCCTTTTTAGCTGGATTGGGTGAAACGGAATAAAAATCATAATAGTTTTAAATATTATTTTTTTCCCAATGTGGCAGGTTCTTTTTTGTCTGTTCCAACTTAACACATCTTAGAAAATTGTAAATATCGTAATGCAAATAATGTCTTGAGAAAATGTCTAAGTGTTGTGATATTATATTTATGCCATGTTGGCCACCACTATGATATAATGTCAGCTGCCCTTTACATTGTCAGAACATTTCAGGAAGAATTGACCAATAGAAATCATCCAGAATTACCTGGAATCACCTTTCCTTAGCTTACATTAAAAGTTTTGCAACCAGCCAATAAACTCACAGAAGAAGACGTGACGTAAATGTAACGTAAAACTCATGGCGCATTTTTGAGGAATCCGAAAGAAATCAGAGTAAGAGTTTACATGCAATGAGAAATCTGATTACTGAGCTAAAATCCAGCTCTCTTTACCGGATTTCTTAATCGGATGCCTAGATCGGAGTATTCTGTTTACATGACCATTTTAATAATTGGATAACTGCAGGAATCAGGTTATGATCGGATTATTGAGTGCATGTAAACACACTCAGTGATAATACCATGAGATTATTTAACTTTTGTTTTAAGTCATTTTATGTAGAGAAATTCTCTTATTCTATTTTACTTTTACTTGTTTCAGTCGTTATTTCTTGAAACAAGTACGGTTATCTGCAGTGTATCTTGAAGTAAGCAAATGATCAGCCTTGTCTTAGAACAAAATTATCTGCCAACAGAATATTAATTTCTATAGATAAAATCACTTAAAACTAAGTAAAATGTATAGAATATGAATAATCTTATATTATTGTTGCCACAGTCTCATAATGAGAAATATTATTGACCAGATTTTAAGATGTATTGGTGAGATGTCATTTTTTGCGGGGTGGTGGTGGCTGTCAGCGCCGTCTGTGAACATGAAGACTGAACTGTAACGTGCTTAGCCTAATTGAATAAATCAACAGGCCAGATGTGCACTGCTTTGTTTCCTGTTGAATGCAGACATACCTTAGACTTGACAGGCCGCTGAAACTGCACCCTGTGTCGGTCGAGTCGTGAGAGGTGGGAATAAACTCTTGCGAACGCTGTTAGCCGCTGCACTATGGTGCACCTCTCTCATTGGATCAGCCAGGGGACGCGATCTGTCATTCACTGCGCGCCACAGCGAGGAGCAGCTGCTGACAGACAGCATTTGGCAGCGTTGTCAGTAAAGATCACTTCACACCGCGCACTTGGCCCAGAAATCAAGTGCTGCCTCTAAGGAGCCGTCTGGGTTTATGTGGGTTCGTGGTGAAGACTCACCGTGGCCCCCATGGCTGCGCCCTTCTAGCTACACAATAAATGGCTCTTTTGTTGTCTGGGCACATCCCAGGAAACTGTTTAGTCTCTGTGAGTGCTACTGTAAGAATCGCCATGGCAACCGGCATCAGAGCACAGGGACAGAGGAGTATGGCAGTGACGGAGCCTTCGCTTTGACAGGCTCAGTTCACGGATTCGACACACAGACGGCCTCGCTGGGCTGCTTGTTGACTCTTTTTTTTTGCCTTGGAAATTTGAAGATACTTTTGTTTCATGTGAATAAGTTCCACATGGTGACTTCACAGCACTGTAGCACCAGCAGTTTTGGGATAAGAAAGCACTTTTAAGAGTGCAAGGTCTTTTTTTAAATACAAAAAGTTTATATGGCTGCTGTCGGAACAAAACCTCGTATGTCCAAAATGATAACTTTACAGGAGAAGGGAAAAACATACATAACCAGACATTTTTCCAAGTAATTTTGAGCCGTTTCTTTTGGTCCATTCGTCATGAAATTTACACACAATGTAAAGAACAACAGGCATTTTTACATTAAGTCAAAAACTGAAAAACGACAAAAATTTAGATACAAGGTGTTGTTCTGGCAGCAGTGCTATTTTTTTCTTGTAATACCTTATTTTTTTTCGGAAATTAAAGCAATAATTAGCAATAAACTTCACCCAGTTGTCATCTTATCCCAAATGTGGTGGATCAGCGAAGACGTGTTTGCTTCTTTAGTTTTGCGCTAGAGTTACAAGGCTAACATGTAATGGAAGCTTATTGCCGTTGTATATCCTGCATGCCTAAATCACATACTTGCCTCAAACCATGTTGTTAAGTATTCTCAGATACTTTATGAGGCGTCTGATACAAAATGTAGGAGTGTAAGTTTACCTACTAGCTATATTAGCCTCATAACCCCAGTGCCAAACTAAAGATGCAAACCTTTGCCCAAACCCATTTCCATATTTTGAAGGGTCACCTTGCCACTTGGTACTGAGTTACAAGGGGTGGTAGTTGAAATCTTCCCAACAAAATGGGACCCACAAATAAAAAAACATTACTTCATTCACAGCTACTAGCGCTGCTGAGTGGATCAGACACAGCAGTGCTGCTGGAGTTTTTAAACACCTCAGTGTCACTGCTGGACTGAGAATAGTCCACCAACCAAAAATATCCAGCCAACAGTGTCCTGTGGGCAGCGTCCTGTGACCATGAAGGATTAGAGGATGACCAACACAAACTGTGCAGCAGCAGCAGATAAGCTATCATCTCTGACTTGTCAGTCCACCTTGTAGATGTAAAGGTAGGAGTGTCTAATAGAGTGGACAGTGAGTGGACACAGTGTTTAAAAACCCCAGCATCACTGCTGTGTTTGATCCACTCGTACCAGCACAACACACACTAACACACCACCACCACGTCAGTGTTACTGCAGTGCTGAGAATGATCCACCCAGATAGTACCTGCTCTGTGAGGGTCCATGGGAGTCTTGACCACTGAAGAACAGGGTAAAAGGGGGCTAACAAAGTATGCAGAGAAACAGATGGACTACAGTCTGTAACTGTAGAACTACAAAGTGCACCTATATAGTAAGTGGAGCTGATAAAATGGACAGTGAGTGTAGAAATCATAATGTTATGCCTGATCGGTGTATAAATTATAAATTTTCCTTTTTTTTCAGTCTCTCACTGTGATCATTTGAGTACAGACTAACTGCTCATGTTAACTGGACTCAGATTAAGTTTATTCAAATGAGATTTTACATACTATTTGCAAAAATGGGAAAAATTGGAACTGGTTTGACCTTCTTTTGGTGCACAGGGAATAATAGCTTTGAGAGAATCTGACATTTTGTGCCAGACGTCTGTTTTGTGAAGTGGAGCTTTCTGTCTAAATGTTTTATGTAAGCTGTTATTCATGCTTGATCTGCCCTCTGTTCAGTGCCTTTAATGCACCGTGTGCCTCTTTCTTTCAAGTAGAGGACTTAATGGTGTTTTTCTTCTTTTCTTTTCAGCTGTTGAAGAGTCAGAGAGTGATATTTACATGCGCTTTATGAAGTCACACAAGTGCTATGACATTGTCCCGACTAGCTCCAAGCTAGTGGTCTTTGACACTACGCTACAAGTAAGTGCTCTTTTATTGTTACTTCTATCTTAATTGCTTCTATCTTGGCCAGATACGATATCTGCTTCTGACATGTTGGTTATGACCTGCACGGCTCTCGTTCTTCAAGCCTGTAAATAAATAAAAAAAACCTTCAGTATATTTCTTTATCCAGGAAATAATTACAGATAGAACATAAAACGAGATAGAAACCCAACTGTTACAAAGTCACCTTCTTACAGTTGTGTTTGTCCATTGCATACATGTAAAAAGTCTTTGTTGGTGACACAATGACAAGGGGAAAATTTGGTTTGTTTAGAGGTTAATGATGTGGGACTTAATTTGTTATTACGATTGTTTGTGTGTATATATATATATATATATATATATATGTGTGTGTGTGTGTGTGTGTGTGTGTGTGTGTGTGTGTGTGTGTGTATATAAAATAACATGTTATGTAATATTAGAATTTGTTTCCCAAACATGACACTGGGGAGAGGATTTCATTTAAGCAGTTAGTTAACAGGCATTCCAGACTAAAAAATGTTGAATATGTTATGTATTGTGTTATGCAGTATTTTGTAGCACAGCATTGTATTCCTGAGCCTCATCAGTTTGGCAGCTTTCACAATTTTACATAATTTTCATTTTATCGCTCATCAGTGTTGTCCCACTACAACCGCTATTCCACTGTCGAGCCCAATGGTTCTCAGGGCCGTAGTGGGCCGCTCTGCGCTGGTCTGGACTCGTGAAAACAGTTGCGTTTTTTGTTTTCCATTTGTTGTACCACGAAATCAGTTACAATTAGCTTCATAGCTAACAAATAAACATTACTCATGCTGTCCTGTAAACATGTTAGAGCGTCATGTTAGAAATTCCATCACGTGTCTTAATAATTGCATTTACCGCTTTCTTTTATTTACATGTAATTGATTCAACCCGACCTACCCAACTCACGTTTTGCTTGCTGCAGCATAATATAGCTGTAAAATCTAATGACTGTGGAAAATGAGTGCAGTTAATGTTAAATAATTGCGGTCATCTCAAATAATTGCAATTAATAATACAACCCCATTTCCCAAAAAGTTGGCACGCTGTGCAAAATGTAAATGAAAACAAATGCAATGATGTGCAAATCATTTAAACCCTATATTTTATTGAAAATAGCACAAAGACAACATATCAAATGTTGAAACTGAGATTAATATTTGCCCATTTTGAATTTGATGCCAACAGCACTTTGCAAAAAAGTTGGGACGGGGTCAACAAAAGGCTGGTAAAGTTGTGTAATGCTAAAAAAACATCTGGTGGTTAATTGGCAACAGGTCAGTAACATGATTGGGTATAAAAGAGCATCTCAGAAAGGCGGAGTCTTTCAGAAGTAAAGATGAGGAGGGGTTCACCCCTCTGTGAAAGACTGCACGCTCAAATAGTGCAATAATTCAGAAATAATGTTTCTCACGTAAAATAGCAAAGAACTTTTGCTTTTCATCATCTACGGTACATAATATCATTAAAAGATTCAGAGAATCTGGAGAAATCTCTGTATGAGGCCAAAAACCTGTATTTGCTGGCTGTGATCTTCAGGCCCTCAGGCAGCACTGCATTAAAAACAGACATGATTCTGTAGTGGAAATCACTGCATGGGCTCAGAAACACTCTGAAAACCACTGTCTGTGAACACAGCTCACATTAGCATCCACAAATGCTAATTGAAAAAATTGGGTTGTAATTGTTTCACAATAATTGTTAATTTAGCAGCGGCTAAAGTTTTTATTCTGGCCAGAGTGTTCCTTTAATGGAAGAGCTCTATTTTTATGTTAATACAAAATTCTTTTGATGCAATTTAAACGTATAAATCCTCCCACCTGCGCTTTTCATTCTCTGCGTAGCCCACGGCGCCTGCTATCACACCAGCTCAGAAGGTGCAATAAACCTAAACGTGTGTAGAAGTCCCCACCCTAAGAGTCCCCACTCTCTTATCTTCACACTGCCTGTTTGAGGACCTCTTCTGGTGTGACGTGACCCTAAGGGGCACATTCAATTAAAAAGCTCCCAAAGTTAATCAGGGGTGGAGTATTATCTGTAGGCGTCCCTTCCCTCGGGTGCTGGAGCCTCAAACACAGGGGTTGGGTGCTTCTTTTAAGCTGCTGATGCTCTTTACTGTTGCTGAAAAACGGCAGCAAAGCACTGAGCCTCCTTTCTCTCTCTACCACAAGCCTCTCATATCACTGAATTATGGATTTGTGAGGCAAATTATCTCGCAGAAGTTGATGTTTCTTTTTTGGGTTTCTTTTTTTTTATTTCTGTAGATTCTCTTGTGACATAGTCACGAGCAGTTCCCTGTGTGAAGTTTTTTCCGAAAGTAGCAGGCTTCTCAGTGTCAGTCAAGGTGGATGAAAGCCTGCATACATCTGCAGGGTGTCTGCATCTTACTGCTGCATCTTTTCTGCTGGAGTGCTTCAGCTTGTTAGGTGAAGAACATTCCGGCTTTGTTCACACAGCAGGTAAAAGTGGCCCAAATCCGATCTGTTTCTTCATATGTGACAGATGTGTATCTGTATGTCATTGTGAACAGCAGAAAACACTGAATCTGACCTTCCCTTTCTGATTTAAGGCGCTTTCGTATGTGGCACTGAAATCCGATACGTATCCAATATGCAGCAATGCTACTCAGTCTGAACAGCCAGATTGGAATTCGTGCGACTTTTACATCAATCCAACTGGACATTCGTCATAATTTCGCGCTGCTGAGACTCATAAACATTTAGGCTGATATTTCTGTACAAAAAAGTAGAAGAGATTTATCTAAAACGCTCCGAGTTTGAAGAGGTTTCGAACGAAATGGCCAAATGAGGCCATAAGAGAACGAGGCTGAAGCATCAAAAAAAGTTTAAAGAATCCGAGGACACGTACCAAAGAAGTGACCGCGCCCTTTTTACAGCGAACTCGAACACATTCTGGGTGATGAGCCCAGCTGTCAGTCAGTAAGCCTTCATGATGGCTCCTGTGATGCTGGTCAAGATGAAGCTGATCCCTCCGGGAGCGACTGGCGTTCGTTGGCAGTCGTGATTGTTTACCTCTGGATGAGCCGTGAAGCAGCGTGACGCTCTGTTCTTTTGGCGCTTGTGGGTCAGTTTAGGAGCTGATCTGTTCAGGCTGATGTCTCATACAGATCACATTTAAAAGATAATCTGAACAGCCAAACAAAAAAATCTAATTTGGTGAGAAAATCAGATTTGGGCCACTTTTACCTGCTGTGTGAACATAGCCTCAGTGTGTAGCCCAGCTACGCAACCATGCAGATGCTCAATTATCCCTCAGTAGAGAAAGCAAGAAGAAACACCCTGGTGTCCTACTTCTTAATGAGACTGGGTCCAGTTCTGTGTTCTGCTCTGCAGACCATTAGGGCTGCACAATGTGGACAAAATGTTGGTTATGTGATTATATTACTGCGTACAATGATTGTGATATGCTTTGTAATTTTTTAAAAATTGCATTGATGAGTCAATAGTGTGACATGGTTAAAGGTTGGCCTTAATTATTTTGACCAAAATTGGAGTTTGCGTGTTCTTCACGTGTCTATGTGGGTATATAAAGAATTATACAACAGTTAGTTCCACGCAAGCTGATTGGTTGAGAAGTGTTCTAACTGTGCTGTTATTTCGCCATAACTTCATGTTTTTTTCACACTATCACTCTGCTGAGACGCCGATGCTAAGCAACGACTTTGACAGCTGTAGGAGACGCTCAAGCCATTTGAACGTTTTCACTTCTTACTTTGCCACAAACAGAAAATGAACACTTTTAAGATCACATTTGACCGACAGCCGATTTGGTCAGACTCTGAAGATGAGACGACACTAAACTTCTAAACTGTCATCACCACTGAGCAGCTTTTCAGTCGGCAGCTGTGACAGAAGAACAGCTGAACAACCTGGAATCAGCCAGAAATGAACCCAATACCATTTACCAAACTAAATGGGCTGTAAGATGCTTTACAGACTGGCTGGAACAAAACAACATTAATACTGATCCGGCAAAAAATGACAAAACTGAGCTAAACTTGACTGCGGCAGTTTTATGACTCAGTCTGATTTGGTCAGACTCTGAAGATCAGACTACACGTTTGGCGAATGGTGTTGGGTTCATTTCTGGCTGATTCCAGGTTGTTTAGCTGTTCTTCTGTCACAGCTGCCGACTGAAAAGCTGCTCAGTGGTGATGACAGTTGGGGAATTCAGTGTCGTCTCATCTTCAGAGTCTGAATAAATCGGCTGTCGGTCAAATGTGATCTTAAAAGTGTCCATTTTCTGTTTGTGCAAAGTAAGAAGTAAAAACGTTCAAATGGCTTGAGCGTCTCCTACAGCTGTCAAAGTTGCTTAGCATCGGCGTCTCAGCGGAGTGATACAGTGTGAAAAAAACATGATGTTATGGCGAAATAACAGCACGGTTAGAACACTTCTCAACCAATCAGCTTGCGTGGCCGGAACTAACTGTATAATTCTTTATATACATGTGCTTCAGTCTGGTCTGAACCTTTTTCAGGTGTCTTCTTGTTCACATGACCACGGAAACCAAGGGTTTTTTCTTTAATGTTTGGTATGAGTTTGCAGAGAGCAGCGTGCTTATTGCCCTCTTGTCAATAGGAGCAGTTATTTGTTGGCTAAGTGATAAGCGGTGCTCTTTTTAGCATCGCCTCACCAAAGTGCTGCAGTGTTGATTGTTGTAACTGCAGCTCAGGGTGATTGTGGCCGATCTCTGACTCACTGCAGTGGTATGCTGGCTGACAGTAGCGGAATGGAACAGGATCACCTCCCCGTTCAGGAGTTTCCATTTATTTGAGCTGAGGAAGAGGCCCAGGGGCTTGTCTCATTATGCCCCCCACCATGGCTCGATTAAACTTTAATAGTCTCAGATTGAGCTAGAACAGCAGCCAAGGAGAGAGAAGAGGGGCTCTGATGATTTATTCAAGAGAGCCTTGAGATGCCATGATTAAGGCTTTGTTTGAGGCTACTGTACACTGGCATCGATAGCTTTCATAACAGACAGCCTTTCTTTACGTCTGATTGGTTGTAGCTTGTGTCAAGGTTCATCAGCTGCGTTTACATGCAGCCTAATAATCTGTTAATAATCTGACTAATAGCTTAATCGGAATAGAATACGTCCATGTAAAACTTCAATTGGAATAGGCTAGTCTGATTGAGGCCATTTGGAATACAGTTTCTGTCCGACTGATCGAGGTGGGTAATCCTGTAAATAATCTGTTAATTGGAAGAATAATATCAATGTAAATGCCTGTATCTGATTACATTCCCTATCGGAAAGTTTAAGTCCGTTCTGATCATGTTCGTCGCGTCATAGTGAGAGTTTATACCGTTCAACATGGCGGAGAAGAAACTGGTCTGCAGAGGAGACGAAGTTTATGCTCTGATCTTTAAAAGACGGCGGTGGGACGGACGTCCAGCTTATGTGTCTCAGAACACGACGTCTTCCTCTCGGCCTTCTTTAATAAGGACATGTGAAGGACGTTTTCCTTCACATCATTTTAAAGCAATTAAAAACACAAGCACTGCTCACTGCTGCTCATCTCACTCTGACTGGACTCATGTGATGTTCGCTGTCATGGTAACGTTTACTCTTAGTGGTTCTCCACGCGTGTGCGTCATTTTGCATCGGATTACTTGTAGTGCACATGTAAACGAAGATTTTCCATCAGATTGTTGAATAGAGTGGGAATACAAACACCTTAGTCTAAATCTGTAATAGGAATGTATTCAATCGGATTGGCAAAAATCTTTGTATGTAAACACAGCCATAGAGAGTCTAACCAAAAGCCTAGAATAAAGTTTGTTTATTGAGCTTAAAGTTTGTTCTGTAATGGTTTGGTTTAAATCATCCTTTCAAAACAATAATTTTTAAACGTTTTGAAACGTCGTCCATCCAATGGAACAAATTAGCCTCTGTTTTAATTCATTTTTTAGTCCACACCAGCTGCGCTGGACGCGTGTCTTATGTTTAACTCTTGCCTACTTGTTCTAAACCACGGTTAAAACCATAATTTGGGGCTCTTGAGTGCTGCAACTGTCTAAGCGTTGACCCTATCATTAGGAGATTGTGAGTTTGATCCCTGGTGATGCTATAGCCATCTGTGGCCAGAAGTCCAAGAGAGCACAGCTAGCCTCGGTCTCTCTGGGCAGGTAGGAGACCACCTGTCACTTAGTGCAGTGCTAGCCAGCGCAGGCGTCTGTTAGCTGACGTAATAGAACTGGTGGTTAGTGTTCTCCTCCAAGTGCTTTTAGCTGTCCAGTGACAAAATTGGGGAGAAAAATGGAAAAAAAAAGTTATTTAATTAAATATGGTGATCTTGGTGGTGCGGTGGTTGCTGATCAGCTCCTGCTAAATACTAACAGCGTGTGGATACTCTTCTCTGATACAGCGTCTGTATATAGAACTGCTGTTTGTGCTGTTAAGATTCAAACCTGCTGTAAGACTAATTAATTAGATAAGAAAAGGTGGAAAAAATCTGATGTCACCTGAAGTGGTTACATGTCAGAGTTGAATTGGAGGCAGGTACTGGCAGTACTCAGATAAGGATCACCTATGTTTACATTTTTGAGATAATTCAGCAAAAATGTCATGCCTCCATGGTACACCTGCCTCTTATCGCAAATTTTGCACACAGCGTTTTTCTTATCGTCTGATAATTTAAGGTGCTCAGAGGCATCTGTGTTTGTTTAGCCTCAGTGGCAACATGGAAAGCAGCGCAGTGTGTTGCACTCTGAGGTGAGGTGATGTGGATACCTGGCATAAATTTTTGATGCATTCACCTAACCTGGTTGTAACTGATATATTTTTAACATTTTCCACATGTTAACATTTACTATTCTGTCTAAATGGTTTTGTTGATTCAGTTCATTGTAGGGCTGGGCGATAAAACGATAACGATAATTATCGTGATATAACTTTTCCTCGATAGAGCGATACGACATGTTCGATATAATACACCATTCTCACACCTCCACGTTCAGCGAAAGCCTTGGTGCCGTTTTCTACTGCAAGGAAAGTGACACTACTCAGCTGTCGCCAGGAGAGGGCGCACTTCCGAGTTTTTCTACATGATTAGAGAGGGAGGGGGCGACGAGTAAGATGAGTCTTTAGCAACGGTTAAAACGCGGAGTTATACATTCCCTGTTTGAGTAGAGCGACCGGCGATCTGTTCTCCGAGTGTGAGTGACGAGGTCAGTGGTGTAACTGTACTGTCCTACAGCGAACTCACCTCTTTCTGTACATCCTAACCAGCTTTAGCAGCGTTAAATCACAATCCTCACAACTACAGCGCTGTTACAGCGCTCGGATAGTCATATTTACGTATTAGTGCATTCATAAGCAACGAAAGTGAAAGAAAGAAAGAAGTGGGTTTATGTAAATTACAGCCCGGATTGATACGAAAGTAAACTGAGGAAGCTGTTGGAGAGCGAGAGAGCGGCGCACTGTCGCTCACACGACACGGAGAATTGATGATACTGTGGATCAAACAAGACACAAAAGCACTGCTTTCAGTTTAAACGTACCCAAAAGGAGGACTCCGTTTGTCTGGTGTTGATATTTTGCGGTTCACCCCTTAAACTATTAGGTTACGATAGTATAGAGAAATCCAGTCGTCGCTAGCTGGTGTCTGAATGCTGTGATGTCATTTGTAGCGGGGTAGCCGAGCGCTCGTCACCAGCTAAATTAATGTTTTCTTTCTTAAGTTATGACTATTACAAAATAGCCGTGCTTTTCCAGCTGGTAAAAACAGCTTACCAGACACTTTCTCCCACTCTCCCATGACAGATCTGTGAAATGTTCCACTGTTTGGACAGTGTTTGTCGTGTTCCAACCATAAAGAATAGTTTAAAACAGCAATTAACCACCCAGGAGCAAAAATCAGCCTTCAAACTTGAAAGAAATAATGATTTGACATTTATCGCGGTATGTGTCGATATCGAACGATATGAGTTTTGTTTATCGTGATGACATTTTTGGCCATATCGCCCAGCTCTAGTTCATTGTAAGCTAAGCAACTTTTGTGGCTTTAGAAAAATAATGCCTCTGAATACTAAACAGAGATGAAATAATGATGTGGACTACTGAATGCTGCAGTGGAAGGAGATCAGTTTGGCTTCTTGGTATAGTGGAAGTCGTTATTGTGGTTGTGTGTTGTTCCCTTTTATAGCTGTATGACATAAAGGCAGGGTTGGTTATCTATAATATATTCAACAGATATATTTAATTTCACCAATTACAACAACATCTGAAAAATCTTGATTGTTTTATTGCACAAAAAGCAATAGAAATCATGAATAATAAAACTGTCAGTGCAGGTAATTAGAATTATATTGTGTTTTCACTACATTTTATTATTGCAGCATTTTTTAGTCCATGCACTGCTTATTATGTGTAAGCTATTTGATGTATAGATTCTGTAATGCAAAAATTACACACTCATGTTTATTAGTCACAATATTAGCCATAGTGCATGTGCAACTGCAGACCCACAGCTGACAAGATTTGGAGACAGAGATAGGTACAGCGCCCTCTGTCACTTGAAATTGCTGCTAAAAATGCAGGATCAGGTGCAAAGTTGTTCATTTTTTTTCTCCCTTTCTTCTCAGGTTAAAAAGGCCTTTTTTGCCTTGGTAGCCAATGGAGTTCGAGCTGCCCCACTGTGGGAGACGAAGAAGCAGAGCTTTGTAGGTGAGTGCTCATAGGTCTGCTTAGTGCAGTCACCTGGGGTTTGTAGTAATGCCTTATAAGTAGTGAAGATGACACGATGATTTTGTTTTTCTTTAGAAATTCTTATTTCATTCTCATGTTTGACCAGCACAGTGACATCATACAATGGAGAACCCATAGTCCCAACATCAGAAGTTCATTCCCACAAGATGGTGCATCCGTGGTCATGCACTACAGGTGTCAAGTGTTGGTCTTTTGGTGCCAAGTCAATAGCAAAATTTTTAAAAATGAACACGTCTATTTTTTAGTACTGGTGGTACAGAGTTACATCAGTGCCTTTGGTACCAATGTGTGCCAGTCCTGTCTAACCGCAAGTACAAGTGCACACACCGGAAAAACAACACAGCAATTGTGACTACCAGTGCATTTCAAACGAGAAAGACATTTCAAAGCAAAAAACATGAGGCAGATGAGCAAGAGCATGTAATAGACCTCGAAACCCAATCTGCAAGTGGTCCCATTGAATATTACCGTTGTTACTTATATCGTCAGAGTTCTCATCCAAAGATAGAACGCATACTACACATATTGTCTAAATTTTGTTTGAGAACGCTGGTCATCATATTGCATGTGACGTGATGTTGCTGAGTTGGACACCAGACAAACCCAAACCAACCCATTGTTGGTGGTGGATATTCTCCCCTTTCCTTCTGGTTCATTGAGCTTGGCAGTTCTTTCTGCAGATCTTTCCAAAGACAGCTGTCACATTACTATTCTACCGATTTTTCAAAATGTCTACATAATTAAATGGTTAAGATGTAAACAGAGTCATTCAGAGTGGTTTGGTGTGAAATGCTTAATTCTAGAGAAACTTGCTGAGTCAGAGTTGTTCACAGTGGTGGCGATAGGAACCAGACATCCACCTCTAAAAGCTCCCCTCAGAGAAAGTTATTACATGAAATTGTTCCACCACAAAAAGGAAAGATAGCAGGTGTCTAGTTCAAGCAAATTGGCAAGTTTAAAAAACCTACTACCCGTGTTTTAAAGGAGGTTTAATGGTTACCTGTAGCTAATGTAGCCTATTGTTTTATATATAAAAAAAATATTTAAAATATTTATGAATAATTCAGGTATTCATGTAATATTTCAAGGTCTGCTACAAGTTCCTGTAGTTGTTTTGCCATATTTTGAATAAACAGTGCCCAGTTCGGGTCGTATGAAACTGTTAATTAAATATGAAATAAAAACAGAGGCATTCTCTGGCCCATGTTGAGATTTTTTAACATGGCCCTTTTAGTGGTTGAGTTTGACACCCCTGGTCTAAAACATATGTTAATCAATTTATTTTAATCTATTCATGGTGGAGGGATACATGAAGGGTGTTCTAATGAGAAATAGTCCCCAGAGAAAACCTTTTTTCAGAAAAATCACATTGATATAAAAAATATATGTAATATTACATAAAAGCACTGGTGGTTTTGGATAGTAAATAAAATATCCATATTTGTGTTGTAGTCATGGTGACCCCTGGTTCCTATCATCACCACTGTAAAGAAATCTGAGTCTGCAAGTTTCTCTATGATGAACCATTTCACACCAAACCACTCTGAATGACTCTGTTTACATCTCAGCCACTGAATTATGCTGACATGTTGAAAAATCTGTGGAATTCCTCTTTAATAGTTGTTTTAAAATGTATGATTGATGTGATCTGGCCTTAAACTTTCTGGTCCTTGTGGGTTTTAATAATGTAGTTTAAAAATTAAAGATGGGGCTTAATGTTCTGTTTTTGCTGTGGCGTTGAATTGGTACTGAGAGTCGTCAGATTTCACTGGTATTGGTTTTGACTATGATGATAGCAACTCTATTGCCAACTTCATTGAGTAGTCCATGTTGAAGTCCTTGTCCTCAGGGCTTCACTTGACTGCTGGCTCTAATCAGGAATAGTTGGCAAACCCTCAGTCGCCCATGCTTGTCCTCATGTTGAGATTTTACCAGTCGGCCCAAGAAATTACAGCAACTTGCAGTCGAAATTATGCGCTACTTGGAAAATGCTCAAGGCGTGATTCCAAGCGGCTTTTCTTAGAAGATTTATCCTGGGATCTATGCCTTCTAGGAATATGCTAGACTTGAAAATCTTATTTTTGCAGTCTGTTAAAAGCCCCCCCCAGCCCTTCCATCAGTATCAGTTCAGTTTAACTGCAACCTTAGACCTGCGGAATGCACTTCTCTATAGGAGGTAAAACTGTTCTAGTGCCCCTCCTTCTAAGCTAATGGACTTCCATGAACTTTGCTGCTTTTTTCCATGGCTGCAGACTGCAGTGTAGCAGCGTCTGCTCTTCGGCTCTTATCGGAAAAGCAGCAGATGAGGCCATCCTCTGAGCGAGCCTGTGAGAGCAGAGTGCCACACATGGCTGATGAGCGTGGGAGGATGATCCCTCGCTCTCTCCCCAGCAATCCTCCATTGCACCCAACAACCCTGCCAGCCCTCTCCCACATTATCAGGATCTGCGTAGAGAGACACTCAGAATAGAAGCACGTGCTGGACAGTGGCTAGACTGGCTGGAGTCAGAGCGCTAGAGTCGGGCTTTCTCCCAGGCCGTCTTGCTACTACAGTCCTTCTTTGTCTGGAGACCACGCAGGGGTTTAAGCAAAGCAGCATACTGGAGGAGTGATTAGAGGCAGGCTCTGAAATACAGAAGGTGGATATTAACGCAGTAAGCCACAAGAAGCTGTGCATTACAGTGATTCTAACACAGTTAAAGGGTGCTGTGTGGTGCACCGTGAAACAGTTAAGCAGTAGAACACGAGAGGGAGTGTGTTATCGCGGAATAACATCACTGCTGGAATTTGGTCACAGACACGAGCCAATGGCGAGTGTTCTATTGCTTTTATACAACAGTTAAATAAATAAAGTAATAAATTAATAAACTGGGCCGTGAATGTGGCGTTTAATACGTTTTAATGTTCGCAGTTCCTTCCGCCAAATTATAGTTACTTAACAAGCAGCTTGTTGCTACTTCAGAGTAACAAGCTCCGCCCACTCGCTGCACAGTCTGCTGTAAGCCTCGCCTTTTGAAGTACGGACTGAGCCATACAACTGATGCAATATCAGGTTTAGCTCAGTTTTGTCCATTTTTGCTGATCAGTATTAATGTTGTTTTGTTCCAGCCAGTCTGTAAAGCATCTTACAGCCCATTTAGTTTGGCGAATGGTATTGGGTTCATTTCTGGCTGATTCCAGGTTGTTTAGCTGTTCTTCTGTCACAGCTGCCGACTGAAAAGCTGCTCAGTGGTGATGACAGTTTGGGGAATTTAGTGTCGTCTCATCTTCAGAGTCTGACCAAATCAACTGTCGGTCAAATGTGATCTTAAAAGTATCCATTTTCTGTTTGTGGAAGTAAAAACGTTCAAATGGCTTGAGCATCTCCTACAGCTGTCAAAGTCGTTGCTTAGCAACAGCATCTCAGCGGAGTGATACAGAACTAACTGTTGTATAAAAATCATTAACATATGAATTTCAGTGGCTTTCATGAAAATTGCGATATAAACGGGCCTATCGGAATTATTACCTAATCACCTGGTCACACTTACTCGACCTGATTGCAGTCATTTGCACTCACTACAGTTATTTTGTTAGCTTTCACAGTCTGTGAATTGGGTGCAGTTTCATGACTAGACCAGTCATGAACGCAGTAATTTTTTAAAGAGCTAACATATTTAGCACAATACAGTAGAATTCAATTGCCGTGTGATCATATGTATGTATATCCTGTATTTTAAGACGGCGTTGAACTTAGCACAGCCAATCAAATCCTAGAAGCAGAGCTATACGTTTTATAATAGAACTAAACGGCTACACTGAGGAGTTGGATTGGAGACGAATAGGGAAGTGGATAGAAATGAATGCAGTCTAGAGAGTGACCCTTGAGCACTGTCCTGAATAGCTGCTGTCTAAACTCATAAGCCAGCCAGCCTCCCTCCCACAGAGCTTCTCCGGCCATTCTGAAGGAGCCATGCTGGTAGATTGTCTCCTGTCACTGCAGGGGTTAGGTGACGCACGATAGCGGAAGCACAGGGAGTCCTGAGCATATGCCTTAGCTTGAGCTAATGCACAGCAGCGAGGCTATGCAGAGGAACACACTGTCCACTTTCTCCTGCTCCTCCCAGCCTGAAGCTTGTGCACACACGTATGTAGATACAAACAAAGACATTAGAGAACATACAGCTGTGCTGCATTGAGTAACTGTGTGCATGAGCTGACTGGTAGGAGCAGGTATTTCTCTTCAACAGCCGACAGCAGCCACAAGCAGGTGTTATGGAAGCGCTCTGTTGCATTTCAGTGACTCAGTTTTATTTCCCTCACTTCAGTTTGATGAAAATATCTGTAAGCTTATCTGTAGGCATTTGCATCTTTTTTATTTCCTTCTTTTTTCTTTTTTTGGAGGAAATGGTCAGAGTAAATTTTGGTTTTCACTGTTACTTCTCAGTTAAATAAGAAGCAGCACATGCTAAAGGGCTTTGTTAACAGCCTTTTTTGTGTTAGCTACGGTTTAAAACACTCAACTTCATGTTCATCAAAGTGTCTTTTTTGGTATTAAGAGCAGATTTGCCTAAATGATCATTGACCATTCTAAAATGTAGTTATGTTATAGCTGAAGTTTGGGGGGAGGAACATGCCTGAAACCCCTCCTTCTTCCAGTCTAATGCCCTATTAATTCACATCCTCACCTTCTGTTCCCTGTGACAAAGTGTTCGCAATCCTCGTCGCCACCCCATCTCCTCCCTGTTCCTCAGTCCTACATCAGTCCTACCACAGCTATGAGGGGGTCCGGCCTTCTAACTACAGGCAGAATCTGCCCAGAACTCCAGCCCAAGTTCTCCCCCTCCCTCAATCAGTCTTTACTCATACTACCTCCACCGTGTTGAAGTATGGTCTGAACTCACAAACTACTGTCAACACAAGGCTGATGCAAAAAAAAAGCTATTACTTATGTTTTGATCAACTCTTTTCTAGTAATA